AAACCAGGACACTGACATGAGCTATGCTTTTATTGAAGGGAGCTAACTATTTCTGCTTTTGTTTATCTATAACTGGCCATCAAATGATCCATGGTACACTTTCAATTGATCAATAACAACACAAGAAAGGATTTGTACATAATATACCTATAGAGCCCTCTCATTCCCTGTGACTTGACTGTCTTTGCAAATGATTTGAACATTCCTTCTGTTTCGAATCCATGTTGTGCTTGCATCTTTGTCTTGATTGTATCAAATGGATGCCCCACTGCCACACTTGTAGTTCCATTAAGAGGACGCCAACTAATTTAAAATTTCTTTTTTTCAATACATTTTCCAAAATAATGTACCAATGTCATAATCATCACAGGAAACTTAAAAATGTTTAACCATTTTTTTGACATCTATCCATCAAAATGATTGTTTAAACTAAAACTATATGGGTTAATTAGCTGATCAGGAAAGCACAATTCCAGCTTATCGAGGTCACTCCTGCTACGAGCTGTAGTTGAAAGATCGAAGGACATATTCTGATCGGTTTCGCAGTAGTTCTTTGATTTTAAGGAACATTTCAACCGAATTTTCCTGTGTACATTAATATAAGTCGGCCCTTTTATAATGGGAGGTACTCTTTAGATAAGAGTGTGTACGTAAGATTTTATTTGTATACTCTTGTTAAGTGATCATCGGGAATTTCTTTGAATTTTACGCTCGCGCTAAACCCACCGTAAAAAATTACTTCAACCCGATGGCCATCACTCTAGTTGTCGACGAAGACTATCGTAAAATTTAAAGGATAGAAAATTAACACATGCAGATTTAATTTACTACACACGTGCAACACAAGCTCATTTTAACGATCATATTCCTGGATTAGTTTCATCACGTACCACCAAGACCTATCAAACCCTCCTGTATCCAGTTGATTCTCTTCTCATTGTGAGTCATACCCTCTTTTAAATTTTATCAGCGTGAATTGTGCGCTCCTTTTGTAATCCAAAATCAAGTCTGCACTTGTTTTGATCTGGAAAGTCTCTGGTTAATTTATGTATGCTAACATAAGAAGTCGACTCGCAGCAATTGGGAGCTAAGGCTAAGTACACACGGTATAGGAGGCAACGTAATTTCTCGTGTAATTTAATTATTTGCAGTTAACAAGCCGGAGTAAATTTTCAAAGACAACAAAATGGCACGAGCCCATAAATAGGGCAAGTGCAATTTGTAGCCTTTGAAAAATTTACAAATTCTCATTAACACCAAATTGCAGGAGAAATTATGTTGTTACTTGCACATTTACTTGAAAAACGCATCACTGAAAGTCAAGACGGACGAAATTTTGGCAGCGCATGCTATTTGTAATTTGCACACGAGCTACAACTTTGAACCCGTATTACATGAATATGCACTCGTTTTCGGCCGTCGCGTAATTTTTTTTCATGTATACCGTTAAATTCTGGTTATAAGCCCCCCCGCTTATAAGCCCCCCTGGTTATAGACTCATCTACCGGTACTTGGAAACAAAAGTTTTCATCCGGTTATGAGCCCCCCCCCCCCCCCCCCCCCCCCCCCCCCCCCCCCCCCCCCCCCCCCCCCGATATTAGCCCCCTCTACTTTTCCTTGCTTTCTTAATATAAAGTAGTACTTTTGCAGAACCCTGTACTACTTCGAACACAAAATTTGCAGTTGTATACTGAAGGCAAACTGACTGCATCAGACAGGGAAGTTCTTCTGACCAGGTGGGTGGGTAGAGCGTGGCAGGAAGTGACTTAGAACAAAGATGTCATCGTAAGAAGCTTCAAGAAATGCGGAATTTCTTTGGATCTTAGTTGATCGGAAAATAATGAAATTAACATCGAAGGGATTTCCGACTACAAGATGCCTTCACTTGATGAAGTCCTTGAAGATGATGTAGAGTTTCATCTCGAGAGTAATGGCTCAGACAATGACGTTTATGATGATGATGGCGCTGAGTTCGAAGTATATAGCCAGATCACTCGGTAAACTAAGATGACGTCAAATTAACTGAGAGAATTAAGTGCAGGAAGCCTCGCCGCCGTGAACTGGACATTA